TCCCATGCGACCCGGGTCAGACACTGGGGCACTATGAGTCACATAGAAGAAGTAGCTTTATTTAATAAATGAAATTTTCAAAGAAATGTTTTATTTTATAAATGAAGTCCAAAAAAAATTTATTTAATCATTAAAGTTAAACGAATCTCAAACAAATAATCTTAAAGAAATAATATCTCTTAAACAAATAATATTTTTTAACGAAATAATATCTCAAACAAATAATATGTTGAACAAATAATCTTAATATCTTTTTGTAAAATCTTAATCTTTTTTTTATCTTCTCTTAGATCTTCTTATTTTCTTGTCTTTCCTTCTTTTCTATAAGATTTTTTTTTCTAGAGAAGCAGTTAAAATTGTGCTGCTATCTTGTTGTCTACGTTTTCTAGTGCTTGAGAGATGTTTTGTTTTAAGATAACCTCTGATATCTGCAGGACTTCTAAATTGCTTCGAGACCTGATCTGCTACTTCTTTCTCATTCACTACTAATTCTGGATCTCTATTATTTAAAAAGATATTTTATTGATTTTATAAGATATTGATAAATGATTTAAGATATTAGGTTGAGTAAAAAGTCATCGCGTATTTTTTAGCTCAAAGTTGTATATACAATATCTTCGTCAATAATGAATAAAATTCAAATTTAAGAAAAGGGTTTTAAAGCTTGAAATCTCTACTTTTAAAAGCTTATCACATTTTTTAAGTTTATATGAGTTTGATAATTTTTACATACCAAAAATTACGAGCTGAAAAAGACGAAAAATTTTCTTCTCACTTTGTGGATTTGTAACGTGTCCAAAACGAATTTGAGAAAATTTTCGATTACCTATCGTGAAAGCTTGATACTTTCCCTACAAAATCGTTTTTTTTTAATATTCCTACGACTTTTGATTACTGAGTTATCGCGGATTAAATAAAAGAATTATTTTGACTTTAATTGCTCATAACTCCATTAAAAATTGTCGTATCGTATAATTTAAAAAAGAGATTTTTAAAGCTGAAACTTTACTCTATCAAGATATATTTATATTGTTGGTAAGAAAGTAATTGCAGTTTTTACTGATAGATGTCTTTTAAAAAAACGCGACGACTTTTTACTTAACCTAATATTTAAGAAATAATATGTAGATACTTTAATAACACATGATTTGTCATGATATATATAGCATTCGTTATATAGAAAAGATAATAAACCTGTTACATTGTTCGTTTCCTCTGTAAACATATCTATTGCATGGGGCCGTTCTGAAGCTAAACTCGGGAAAAAATCATCATCCCTGAATGCATGTGAGTTATAAGAAAAAATGCTAGTCTTTTTAAAAGCATTAATGATATTATTTGATGATGGTAGGTCATAGCAGATGGTAGGGCTGTGCCGACAAATCCAGCTATTTCATAAATTGATACAGTTTTCCCTGAATGACTCATCATCCATGAATCGATAGCAGTATTGTAAAACTTTTGGAATGGACTGTATAGGCCAACATCAAGGGGCTGCATTTGATGTGTTGAATGCGGAGGTAGTGTCAAAATGTGAACACCTTTTGCTAACTCGAAGACGTCTAAACTTATGCGACTCTCATGTTATCATAAGGTTATCATAAATAAAAAATGATGGGTTATGTCATCCTTAGTACTGTATGAAAATTTTATAAAATGTTGCATTGTTTGAACAAAGAATTAAGTATTCATCTAGTCTGATGGATGCCAAACCCAAAAAGTTATGCGGAGCACCGATCATCATGTGATCGCGGAAATTGACCCGAGGAAATATCAGAACAGGTGGTAAATAATTTCCATCACGGATAATACAACATGTAATGAGAACTCCTTTTTCCGCACTTGTTACTTTACATACAGCTTTGGAACCTTTCTTAGCTATTATTTTTCCACTATTTTGAACTATTGTAGATTTAGTTTCATCTAAATTATAAATTCCTGATGGATCTTCAAGTCGCGGCTCTTTTTTGAATAATGTTTGATAGTTATCGAAAAAGGCTTCTACATTATGACGATTAAATGCCGTAGCTCGAGCCAAACTATAATACATCTTTCTGGAGATCGAAGTGATAAATTTGGATGTTTTTAAAAAAATCTTAACAACCAGTCTTTACCTGTTATTTTTTTCTCAACCCGCGACACAGAACATTTTTATTAACAACAGCAGTTTCGTATGCTAGTTTACAGCAGACTTTTGTTGTCAATCCATAGAATATTTTGCAGCACATTTTTAAATAATCAGTAATTGAATTTTCTTGAACATCAGTAAAAATTTTTTGATGGCTGTAGTTTGATGTAAGTCCAAATTTCATACCAGGTGACTTTATAATTTTAATCTTGTGTCTCAGAGTTTCTCTTTTAACACCGCATCGATCAGCTACTTTTCTAATGCTACCTCCTTTAGCAACCAAATCAATTGCTTTTTTCATATCGGTTTCCTCATATGTACTCTTAGACGACCTTTTTTTTATATTATATTTCCTAACCATTTTTATCGTTTTCTGAAAGAATATAAAAGAATTTGTATTGCCCAATTTCATCACGAAAACTTAACCTTATCTAACCTATCCAAATTTGATAAATTTGAATAGCCTGTGCATAATTATATGTACACAAAGAGATTTATCTAATTACATTTTTATCATATGTTAAAAATACGCGTAAAATACGATTATATACGAGGGCAGGTCAATAAGTTTTTAGAAAAACATAGTAAAAACATAGTAAAACACATTTTTTTTTATCGATTCATTTTTATTTCTCAACATAGTCTCCTTTCAGCTCGATACATTTGATTCAATGATTCTCCAACTTTTTCAAGTCGTCCGAATAATATGATTTATCCAACCCTTCAAGATAAGCCTCTGTTTCGGCGATGAGCTGCTCTTTGGTGATGAATCTCTTTCTTCCGAACCATTTCTTCAGTTTTGGAAACAGGAAATAATCGTAGGGGGCTAAATCTTGCCGATAGCTTTTTCATACCCAATTGTTCGTGCAAAATTGAAATTACTGTGCCATGTGATATGCCTATGGCCTCAACAAGCTCGCGCACTTTCACTCGTCGATCAGTCAAAACAATATCGTGGACTTTATCGATGATTTCTGGCGTAACAGCCTCAATTGGACGTCCCAAACGAGGTGCATCACATGTGGATGTACGACCACATTTAAATTCATTCACCCTATTGTATACAGTCGCAAACGCTGGTGCAGATGTGCTATGAACATTATTCAACTCGGCTTTGATTTCTTTCGGTGTTAAATCTTTCATATGTAGATGTTTGATTACTGCATGAAACTGGTTTTTTCCATTTTGCAAAAAATACAAAAGTTGTTCGTTTTAATCGTCTACAGAAATAAAACCACGCGATGAATTTCGCTCAAAATTTGACAGTAATTAGCTGAAAGATATTACTTGTCAAAAAGTAATGTGATATGACACTGCGAGTGCCCTCTGACAGATTTTCTAAGAACTTATTGACTTGTCCTCGTAATTTTTTATGCATATACGGTTCTGCAGTTACGCAAATTTTTTTAAACTCCTGTTAGTATATGGTGTCTAATATAAAAGATGGTGAAATATAACATCGAAGTAAATAATAAATGATTACCTGCACTGCAGAGAAAATGCAGAAAGATGTGTAGAATTACGTATGTAATTCGTAATATCTATATCATACTTTATAGAAACAATATATAAGAAATTGTGAGAGGTAAAATAATCACTTTTGCACCATTAGATTCTTTGACGGCATGTACGAGTATATGGAA